GGAAAATTACCAAGAAAGTAGAATGGAACAGAATCATTGCTACTGCGCCCCTCGCTACTAGTGGGCCAAGCCTGGTGGCTCGGCCCATTGGTAGTGCCAGGATCACGTGACCTGATCCTGGCGAGAGATATAAGGTGCACGAATGAAACCGTGGAGGGGACCCACTCTCTAGATAAAACAATCCACCATCCTCCTCTAAGTCGCAAGGAAAAGAGCTTGCAATCCTACAGATAGTTCTCTTTGGCAATCTTCCTGGCCGTCATGAGTTCCTAAGGAATACAAATACTAGAGGCAGGAGTAGGGTCTTACCTCCTCCCGAAGGGCCCGAACCCACGTAAATCCCTTATTTCTACATCTCATTATCTCAATCCACTGGTCGCACGCCCCTCCGAACAAATGGGTCACCCGTCGATGAAATTGTCGATACTAAATACCGACATCAAGCGCCAAGAGCGGCGGGGAATACGTGGGAGAACAAGATGGTGTGGCTACCAAAATGTCGGAGAAGTGGTAGGACATCATGGAAAAGAAAGAGATGACAAGCGTCAAACATAATGAACTAAAGGAGGAAAGGAAGGAATAGAGATTTAAAGAGTTCATGGATAGGGGCGATTCCAAGGGGGGCGAGGGAGGGCTCTACCCCCCCCCCCCCAACGATCACGTTGCCCCTTAATAGCATATTTTTGTGTGTACGCACATGATTTGTGGTTGTCTCGCACCCCCCTGTGCCCCTCGTAGTGAAAGCCCATGTATATATTAGCAGGTTAAAGCCCATGTATATGCATGTAGTTTAGTAGGTTAAAGGCCAAAATATTAGGAGAAGAAAAAGAAAAGAAAACAGCGCACCGTGGAAGAGGACACAGGCTCACGCACGTACACGGTAGTTTTCTTTGGTCACTTGTTTCCAAAGTTCCTGTGATTGGAAAATCCTCGCCGACACCACCGCCTCCGCCTAGTAGGCACACAGACAAGTGCCGTGGCACAGATCCACAGGCACATTCCGGCCGGCCAACAACGACCAAGCAAGGAAAAGGGTTAGTTTATTTTTTAGGATTAGATGAGTTTGTGTCTTGTAATCTCATTATAGAACTACATACAAGGAAAACTAATTTGAAATTTTTTGATTCTCTAATTGTGTTTGTGTAGACATGAAGATGAAAAGAGATGAATCAATTCATAAATTTTTATGCCAATTGGTTCGAGCTGTGAGCCATGTGAACGTGATGCAAACGCAAACGATCTGCAACCTAGCCAAGAGAGCTAACCTAATACTGTTGAAGATGATTATCAACCTGATCATTGTTTTAGCCAGCAAAAGGTGGATTAGGGGAAGCACCATCACAAGGAGCCACCATGGACATAGCCAGCAAAAAGAAGAACAATTTGGTAGTCTTCTTCTAGTGTTTACATCAATGAAAACATGGTTTCAGTGTTGGCCTTCTACACGGTCTTAATGTTTTTTGGCTGGGTCGAAGCTCATTAGTATGTAAGAGCTCAAGTGAGGAACTCGCTCTGAGGGAGTCCTGGATTAGGGGGTCCCCGGGCGTCCGGGCTATGTGACGTGGGCCGGACTAGTGGGCCGTGAAGATACAAGATAGAAGGCTTCCCCCCATGTTTGGATGGGAGTCTCCTTGTCGTGGAAGACAAGCTTGGCGTTCGGATATGAAGATTCCTTTCTCTGTAAACCGACTCTGTACAAACCCTAACCCCCTCCAGTGTCTATATAAACCGGAGGGTTTTAGTCCGTAGAGGCAGTCATAATCATACAGGCTAGACATCTAGGGTTTAGCCATTACAATCTCGTGGTAGATCAACTCTTGTAACCCTTGTACTCATTAAAGTCAATCAAGTAGGAAGTAGGGTATTACCTCCATCAAGAGGGCACGAACCTGGGTAAACATCGTGTTCCATGCCTCCTATTACCTTCGATCTTTAGACGCACAGTTCGGGACCCCCTACCCGAGATCTGCCGGTTTTGACACCGACACGTCCCCCTATACCAAATTCCTGGCTCCATCTCTGTTCATGGAGATGCAAGCAAGAAAGGCTTGTATCAAGAGGAAGAAGCTTGCACTTCATACAATGTGCGAGGAGTCCAAGGTCATATACGTCAAAGCCAACCACTTGGATGTCGATGCAGCAGTGTGGGGTTGCCAAATGCTAAGCGACATCATTGCACGCTATGCAAATGGCAGTGAGCAATGATTCTACGTAGCGGCATCAGTTGCTTTTTTTTTTGCAATGTTGGATCCAAATTATTAACCTTATTTCATTTGTTTATTATGCACAATTTATCTTTAAAAGTAGCTTTTAAATGTTAAACATTGAAGAAATTTGACTTAGCGTAAAAGAAGGAAGATGGGGAAGAAGGGCAGACAAGTAGAATTTATTTGGGTGACAAGATTAGGTGGTTGGCGCCCGCACATTGTTCCACTGTCACGTCCGAACGTATCCATGAACGAATGAGGGTGTTGGTTTGGGTGCTAGCCTTAGAGATGCCCGCGAACTAACATGTGGCTGGATGGTTAGAGGAACTGTGGTATTCCCAGCCCCCCAGGGTTTAAATCCTGGTGCTCGCATTTATTCCTGAATTTATTTCAGAATTTTCGATGATGCACATTCAATGGGAGGAGACGTTCACGTCGACGACGAGGCGCCTACGGTGACTTTGCAAATCTCAAGATGATATGCCGGCTCATTATTTTGAAAGTGCTCATAGGAGTAAGGTGTGCGTGTCTACGTTCATAGAGATGAGTGTATGCGCGTGTATATAAACGCTTGTGTTTGTACTTATGTTAAAAAAAAGCTTAAAGATGCCCTAGTTCCGGCTATTCTCCAAATGAAGAACAGAAAAATAAACTAAGCGAAATTACGGACCCTTTCGAGTGCAACGCTGCTGCTTGCACGTATAAAATTTACAGTTCAGTCGAGGCAAAAAAGAAAGGGAAATTGCAGGACGTAGGCCTGACCGCCAAAAAGGGAAAAGAACAAGAGCTCGCGCATGATCACCGTTGAGAATTTGCATTCGAGCTCACAAGTGTCCTCTCAGCATCTTGGTCCTGTACAGTTGCGGGGCTACGTTCTCCTTCTCCTCCTCCTCCTCCGCAGCCCACGTCGTGCTGCCAGGCCGGTGAGATTACGAACAGGTCCGGCGCCTCGGGCGCCGCTTGCCGGTCCTTGACGTGCACACCCACAGCGTCCATCTTCTCCATCTCGCTGTAATCCATCCCCTGAAGGATCGCCGGGATGCCGCCGGGGCTGTAGTGCACGCCCTTGCGCCCCATCTCCAGATCGAGCCCGCCGCTCATCGGAGAGAGCACGCCGCCACCGCCGCCGCCGTACGCGTCGTCGTCCTCCGACACCCACGACCGGAAACGGTTGAGCGAGGGCGGCATCCGCGTAAAGAAGACCTCGGCGATGTTGGCTAGCGCGCCCCTGTTGTAGGGATTCTCCTTTTTGTCGTACCTGTACCTGAAGTTCTCGTACGTGGTCTGGTTGGTGCTCATGAGGTAGAGGTGGAACACGGTGAGGCCGCCGACGAACCACACAGACACGAAGGTGAAGACGATGAGCACGACGGACAACACCTCGCCGCCCATGGACTTCAGCAGTGAGCCGCCGTACTCCTCCCTCTCGGCGGCGATGTTGAGCCACGACAGGGCGAAGACGTAAAAGCAGAGGAGCGTGGACGTGGAGATGAAGAGGAAGAAGAAGCGGTAGTTCCGCTGCGACAAAAGGACACCAGAATCTATATATCAGCTCGAGTCGTTGTTGGCAAATTAAGAGAGAAGAATTGACGAAAGAATTGATCCAAACAGCAGAAAAAGCAGCAATATCAATTCGAGTGCTAGCGACCAATTTTACACGAGCATACTCTAGCAAGTATTCAGAGAGGAAGCAGGATCACATATGGAAGCGGCCGGCAAATGATGTGATAAAAGTTAATGTTGATGCTGCTTTTCAGGCCGATTTTCTGTCAGGAGCAACAGGAGCTATTGCACGCGACCAACGAGGGACTGTTATAGCAGCAGCCACTTGGTATCTTCCTCAGGTCTCGACTCGAGCGTTGATGCAGCTGAAACTCTGGCAATTCGTAACGGTTTATATTTAGCCGGCAGGATTGGATGCAAAGTTCAAGTTGAATCGGATAGCAGTTTCGTGGTGGACTCAGTGCAGAATTAAGATTATACTGGATACAATATAGCCACTATTCTGGAATGCAGAGAGCTTGCTCTTGACTTTGCAAATGCTGATTACTCCCACTGTTTTCGTGAAGCTAATGAGGCTGCTCATATCTTAGCTAGCCACTCTTTTAGCATTAGATCTTCCTCATTCTGGGAAGCTTACATCCCGGACTTTATTTCTCAAGCTATTGTAAAAGATTTGTCTCTGATATGAGGAATAAAGTCTTGAAGTTTCAAAAAAAAAAGAGAGAAGAATTGATGATGCAGTTACTCCTATATGAATGAGGTGACTGACCAGGCCGATGCACTGGCCGACCCAGGGGCAGTGGTGGTCGAACTTCTGGACGCAGTTGTTGCAGATGGAGCAGTGGGACGTGCGGGGCGGGCGGTACAGCAGGCACGTGTCGCAGTACTTTACCTTGACCACGCACCCGTTGACGACCACGTCCTTGGAGCGGGGCACGCGGAGGTGGGGGCTCGCCGCGTTCACCCACTCGGTCGACGGCGTCGTCATGTCCACCACCTGCTGCTCGTCGCCGCACTCGGGAGGACGCGCGTTCCTCGGCACTATCCCCGGATCCCTGCTCGACGTCAGGAGCAGGAATGCCAAATCCTGCAGGCATATACAACAGGACAAGAATCAGCACTTTGGCAAAAAATAAATAAAAGGACAAGAATCAGCAGCTGTGGTGTTGCTTCCGGTTTGCTGAATTTTGTGAAGCTCACGTACCGCTAGGCCGAGAAGGACCGTGGCGATGAGGACCGGCAGGCCAAGGACATTCTTCTTCTGATCCGAGGTGCTGGAGTTCATCTTTGTGATGCACTGGCAGCATAGGCCGACCAAGGGGCCTATGATTAGAACTGTGGACAGGAAGAGGGAACCCGCGTCCGGACCGAAGATTAGGCGCCCGCCGCAGAGAAATTTCTGAAATCGTTTTGGTGGGAGTAAAATTGCCGTCCGTCAGTTGAAACTAGTAGGAATCGAATGCTTTTATTATGCATAAGTAGGGAGTCTAATGGCTAACAGCTACGTAACAGAATGTGTCGATAATTTATTATGATCATTTCTTGAGATTTTCCTTTGCACCTTGTCCATATGTCAGCTGCTACAAAAACTTTCTTGTCTTATACAGAGGACCGGTTGAATCAATTTGACCAGAAAATGATGAACACTAGATTTTCTTTTGCTAAAAGATTCAAGCACACAAGAAGCAAATGTGACATCTTAATTTCTAATTTTCAGCAAAAAGTACTGGACAAGAGAGATATAGGAAGATGAAGAGCGGCATGTACGTACATTGCTTCCTCTCCAAACTTGATACAGCCTCCTCCGATTCGGCTCTTCTTCCATCCTGCTTGACTGCTTATTCCTCCAAACGGCCGACCTCTTTGTTCCAAGATCAAGGCCCAGTTGCTCACAGCGGCCACCGGAGCCGGCGCTGCCACACCACAGGTGACCGACGACGAGGCCTGCCGCCTGCCGATTAGACGTACAGCTACTGGCCGCTCTTCAGTTTCCTCTCTTCTTTTTCTCGCTCTCCCAGTTCGTTATGGCCAAGGCAATGACCATCTCCTGCTTTTCCCCTTGGTTTTCTCTCTCTAGGCGTGGCGAGGGAGAGCGCCAGTTGTAGCTACGTGCGTATTGTTTTCCCTAGGAAATCGATAAAGGTTGGGCTCAACGACCTTCCTGCCCCAACGTGCCGGCCTGAACGACAGGGTGGATCGGCCGGCAAGTCTAGGCGTGTTGGCCCACCTGTCTGTCGGTGTACTAGGATATTCTAGGACTCATGTTCTATTATTCTCTTCGCCTATGTAATTATCAAATAGTAACACTAAAAGAAGGCAATTATCAAGACCTTCAAAATGGTTCTGTTTAATTGTTTTCTTAGGATTGTATTTAGGTCTATACAAAATTTGACGTGTAATCATATTTGTCCCATACTTTTCCAAAATCGGGGAGTAAATAGCATAAAACTACCACTTTTCGTGCTAGGGTTCCAAAAAACCACCATTTTTTTGTTTGTAACTGATACCTACCACTTTTCTTGTCGGCTGTCTCAAAAAACCCAAATCGCCCGTTGCTAGCGTTTTGAACCGTTTTCTGACTGTCGGTGTACTAGAATAGGGGTACCCTAGTACCCCAATCTTGTGCACGGGCAGTTGCAGCACCCCGCGGCAAGGCTTGCCGGGCGAACGCCAAGATCCTCCGTGGTTTCCTTGGAGCCATTCGAGAACAAAGTATTTGAGCTCAGGAGACAAGGCCCCGACAAGAGGAGCTTGCCGGGAAGGCCAACCAAGGCACTCCAAGGAACTTGCCGCGACGCGCCACGCGCTCCGGCAAGGCAACAAGGCCGCGGCAAGAGGAGCTTGCCGGGAAGGCCAACCAAGGCACTCCAAGGAACTTGCCGCGACGCGCCACGCGCTCCGCCAAGGCAACAAGGCCCCGGCAAGAGGAGCTTGCCGGAAAGACCAACCAAGATACCTCGAGGCCCGGTGAGCGACAAGCTTCCGGACCCGACAAGATAACAACAGCGGCAAGGCGCTTGCCGCAGCAGGCGGCCACTCTGTGCCCACGCTCCAGCGCATCCACCAATGTGTCGCTCTGGGGGCCTCTCCAGGCGCGCGTGGCGGGAGGCTGTGCAGCCAGCGGTGCGCAGTGGCATGCGAAGCTGACAAGATCGCCATCGTGGCGAACGGTGGTGCCCCTAACGGTCCTTTTCTGCACTGTTTGGGCGACTCAGACGGGCTTTTAATGCCCTTGTCCCCTGCCGTCAGGGTTAGGTAGGATGCACTGTACAAGTAACTGTACCAACCACCTCGCTTTTTACATTTGTACCCTTCTCTGCGTTGCCACCTGTCGGTGACCCCTTTAGCGTATAAAAGGAGGCTCATGCGCAACGTAGAGGGGGTTCGGGGAGGTTCGGAGGGTTCGGTTGGACTGGTTCGGGAGGTTCGGAGGTTCGACTCATTCGTAACCCAGAAAAACACTATGCTCTCTCTCTGGAGCAAGAACACAAGATAATCAAACAAGCAGCAGTAGGAGTGTTATCTCTCCGGAGAGCTCCGAAGCTGGGTAAACTGCTCGTGTGCTTCGCCTCGAT